CGGCCCGGCCCGGAATAGTGTTTTTTGTTTTTTTTTTATTTTTTTTATTTTTTTAATTTTTATATGTATTATATATGTATAATATATGTATATATAATATATTTTTATATATGTATAATATATGTATATATAATATATTTTTATATATGTATAATATGTGTGTGTATATATACTCTCTCTTATATATGTATAATGTATGTATGTATGTATATATATACTCTTTCTTATACTATACATGTATATATAAGTATACTCTCTCTTATATATGTATAGTCTCTCTTATATAAGTATATATAAGTATACACTCTCTTATATATGTATAATATATGTGTGTATATATATATACTCTCTCTCTTAGTAAATATGTATATATAAGTATACTCTCTCTTATATATGTATAATATGTGTGTGTGTGTGTGTGTATATACTCTCTCTCTTAGTATATATGTATATATAAGTATACTCTCTCTTATATAAGTATATATAGGTATACACTCTCTTATATATGTATAATATGTATACTCCCTCTTATAAAGGTATACTCTCTCTTATATATGTATACTCCCTCTTATATAAGTATACTCTCTCTTATATATGTATAATATGTGTGTGTATACTCTCTCTCTTAGTATATAAGTATAGTATATTACAACGGCTACTTTTTCCCCATTGGCCCAACGGGCAATGGCTACTTATGCGATTTTCTCTCTTAAGTTATAACTTATAAATATATACAATATATTTACATATAATATATGTATATATAATATATATAATATATGTATATATAATATATAATTACATAATAATTTGTAAGTATATACTAATACATAATTATATAAAATATAATAAATTTAAACTAATTTTTAGCATTTTTTATAAAAAAAAAGAAAAGAAAAAAATTAAAAAAAATCCGGGCCGACCCGGAGCCCGGCCCGGGGTACCCGGGTCCGGGCTCCGATTTTGCCCGGCCCGGGCCCGGATTTCCGGGCCGGGCCGGGCCGGGCCGGATGAACAGGCCTATCCCAGATCCAACAGGCATTTTAGTTATTTATAAACAAAGTTCGGTTAGAAAAGTCCCAAAGAGGTTTTTGTGAAATTAACCCAATCATAATTCCTAAGACTGTTCTCGATACCTTCCCTTTACGGTAGACTGGTAGAGATACCTCGGACGACGAAAGAAGCAGGACTACGGATCAATGGAGTACAAAAACTACCATTGATATGATCACGCCGTATTCCGATTAAATTGCCAATTTCCTCCTTTCATATCGGCGAATCTACGGATCATCTCGGGCGTTCTTTATCAACGGGCCCTTTTTAACTGGCCCAGCAATTTCCGTGAATGTAGCGAAAGGCTAAATCCCGTAATTCGTGCTCCGTCACGAGGGCAGATTTGTCATTATAAGCTACCGACTTCATTCCGGTCATCGACTATAAAAAGGCGAGCGGAGAAAAAGGGAGGAAATTAAAAATCAGTAATAATGGCGGTTTTCGTTGCTGATTGATTGACGTGAACCGAGGAGAGGAGAGAGAAACGGGACGCGAGGGCTTCGATCTAAGTTCGGAGCAAAATATCTAGGGTTTGTTCGGAGAAATGCTCGGTCCCCGTTCGAAGTAGGAGTCGATTGAGCTCCTTGGTTGCTCGAGCGGTGGAGATTTGCGGCGTCTAGGGTTCGGTTTGCTGTTTCTCTGAAGGAGGGGCTCGATTAGGGTTTCGGGAGTTGTTTGCTTGTTTTTTTTTCTTCTTCTTGTTTTCAGAGGTTTGAAGCTTGGTTCTGGAGCTTCGCAGCGAGACCTTTGGATTCTAGGGTTCGGATCGAGGATCTCTTGGAGTGGAAAACACTGGTACAAGGATTTTGAGGGTCCTTAAGCCTCTGGCGTGAGATCTGGCTGGTTCTGTTCGTCAGTTGATGCTTTGGTTTCAGTGCTTGAGTTGTATCGTCGAGCTCGAATCTTCGGTCACTGGAGATACTGAGCTTTTGAGCTAGTTGGACTTCGGAGAGGTTTCGTTTTCTGTGGATTGTTGTGGTTCCTGCAGTTCATTCGGTTCTTGGAGTCTGTACTTGAAGTTGGAGCCCCAGAATTTAACGGACTCAAGGGAGGAATTCGTGTAATCTTCGAAGAAAGGAGGGCTAGGATTTGCGAAGCGAAGCCTGGGATTGAGGTACTAGATTCTGGAGGTAATAATTTGAAAGAGAATGATTTTGTAAGGCACGATTGCGGTTTCCTTTAAAGGCGGGGAGTAAACTTGCGGGTCTTTGGTATATGGACTGGCCCATCTTGAGGATTTTGCTCCTTTGTTGAACAAAGGGGAAACTTTGGTCCAAGTTTGGGGTTTCTGTTGCATTTAAGCCCTCGTCAGATTCTTTGAGGATGAGGCTCTCGTCGTCGGGTGTCGCTAGTCGGCAAGAAGAGGGTGAGAAACATCCTTAGATTACTTGATTTTAACCGTTTTTTAGAGGATATTTTCGAATGTCAAGAGATCCAAGGGCGCTTTTTGGCCTTGTCAAAATTTTGTGCCTTTGGCTCTACTTAGAACTTAAACTGGGACTTTGGAGCAGTTAGAATTTGGAATCTGGAGCTCTCTTTTTTTTTTTCTAAAGTATTTTGGGCCTCAGTTACCTCTCATCCCCTTTGATCACTGCTGCTTAATTTTATGTTTAGTACCCATAAAAAAATTAACTAGTTTCAATATTGAAAAGGGTCTCAGTGGATTTTGAGTAGAAGACAATTATTATATAGTGAGATGTAGAGTCTATTTTTCATTTTTTTTATATAAGAAAAGAAGTTTTTTCTTGGAGCATTGTTGAAGTTACTGTTGCGTTTTGGATCTTCTTTTTAAGGAAATAAATAAATAAAAACGATATTTCTCTTTATATAAGTTTCCTGCAAATAATGCAAAATTGATTCTCCAAAATTTTGTACGTGTCTGGAAATTTTGTAGGAGAAGAAAGGTGTCTGAATTCTGTGCTATGGCATGCATGTGCCGGGCCACTTGTGTCATTACCTGCAGTCAGCAGTCGTGTTGTGTACTTTCCTCAGGGTCATAGTGAGCAGGTTAGTTGTTTTCTTTGAATATTTAGAAGATGAATTAAGGATATAATTTTTGCTATACAATTTGTGTTTTGTTCTCTATGGGTGTGTTTTGGAAATGTATTTGACATTTGTTCTTTCGGAGAGGGATGCAAACAACTTCCATTTTGGACTATATTCTCCTAGTTCTTTTATATCTTTTTTCTAAGTTTTAATCAATTAAGCAAGATATGCTATATAGCTTCATGATTTTGATTGGAAAGAACCTACTGATATTGACTTGTTAGAAATTTAGGCTTATTTACATTCCACGATATGCTGATGTACATGATTGGATAACCATATTGCTGCCTCCAATTTAAGATGACAACGTGCATTTATGCTGGGTAGAGATTGTCTCTTTGTTTTTGCCAAAAAATCCTCCTCCCTTCATAGCCTTGTGCTGGGGCAGACTCTTATTTTCTCAAATGCTTGATTTGTGCAGGTATCTGCATCAACCAACAAGGAAATTGATGCACACATCCCAAATTACCCAAGTCTGCCTCCTCAGCTGATTTGTCAGCTTCATAACATAACTATGCATGTGAGTTTCATTTTAATGCTATTTTTTGACTTGAATATTGGTTACTGTCCAAGGTGCAGATAATGACAAAATCTCAAAATTCAGGCAGATGTCGAGACTGATGAGGTTTATGCCCAAATGACATTGCAACCACTTAGCCCGGTAATCAATGATTTCTTTATGGCCGTGACTTCTGAATAATTACGCTTTAATTCTTTTAATATCAAGCTCTTCCCCTCCCATTGCTACAGCAAGAGCAAAAGGACCCCTACCTCCCAGCTGAGTTGGGCACCCCTAGTAAACAGCCAACTAACTACTTTTGTAAGACATTGACTGCAAGTGATACGAGTACTCATGGTGGGTTCTCCGTTCCTCGACGTGCTGCTGAAAAAGTGTTCCCTCCATTGGTGGGTTTCGTTGCCTTGCTTTAGAAACCTGAAATGCCAATCCGTTATGCTGTATGCTGCTTTTGTCAGAAAAACACTTTTTTTTGTTCAGCGTGTTCCTCTGTTGTGCTTCTCAGGACTTCTCTCAGACGCCTCCTGCACAAGAGTTGATTGCAAGGGACCTTCATGATAATGAATGGAAATTCCGCCACATTTTTCGAGGTAGTTCGATTTAACCAGCTAGTCAAAGTTGTACTTTTTCTGGAATGAAAATTGTATGTAGCTTATGGCTTTTGTGGAAGTGCATGAATATTTTGTTGTTCACTTGTTCTTGTTTCAACATGAATATGTAACTATATTTGTATTGAATTTGCTTAATTTGCTCATCTACCCTTCCGATAGTATAGTACTAAAATGTGCAAGTTACATTTTAGTTTCCAGATCTTCTTTACTTCTGAGCATCATAGATTACTTTAGTGCACCATTTCTGCATTAGAATAGTTTGGCATATATTTGGAAATCATAATTTCAGTTGCAACTGAAGTGGATGTGACCTTTGTAGTCTTAATATTGTTCGGTGTCCGTCCCGATGAAATGTGGAAAATAGTATTCAAATAACAGCACAGTTTAGGTTCTACGGATAGCAGGATCGAGAAATATAGTCATGTTTTATGATTGGAAGGAGTTCACTTTGTAGATTGGTCAAACTAGAATGAGCTTGTCAAAGTATTATGGAGGTTTTCATATAATTTGATTATTTGGTCCTGTCCATATAGGGTAAAAGAAATCTTCTTCACATCTGATTTTGCGTTGTTTTTTACAAATATTGAGACTGATACTATCTGATTAAAATATGGAAATGAATATGGTAGCAATAAATATTTGAAATACCTGAATAAATTTCCAGATGTATTGAATATATCAAAATGCACAGATATTTAAGGGAAAAGTAGTACGCCCTTTTTATCCTTTTGGTTTTATACATTAGTATTGGGACTAATGCTCGTATTCTGTGTTAAAATTTGTTTTTACGAAATGTGGACATTTAGTTTAGTAGCATTGGCACCTTATAGCTGCTAATAAGGCTTATTCATGTGGCATGCGCTAATGTGTCCGAATAAGACACATATTGTAACGTGGTTTATGGGTCAACTTATAGTGCCGTTTAGGCCTTGAATCTTAAAAAAAATAAAAACTTATAGTGCCATTTTTTAATAGTAACATAAAGAATTCTTACTTTGAGGGAACGAAGATGATATACTGAACAAGATGCTAGTTACTTTACTAATGTAGATTTAATGGTTTATCATTTATTGGTGCTCTGATACTTTTGTAGCACCTTAAACTATTATTCCTTTGGTTCATCCGATGTCCCTAAATTGGGCATCATATGGTAGAACATGAGTGATGTGAGCATCACTTTCCTCTCTTCCCCTTGAGGGCTGGACTCTTCCATATTTACTCAACAATCATGCCTTCAATCCTATAATTATATGTGAAAATCGATTGGATTGTATATAATTGGCTTCTTCAGTCTATTTGCACATCTCTGTGTGGTTCAGCAAATTCAGAATGTGCAGGTCAGCCAAAGAGGCACCTTCTTACAACAGGATGGAGTGTTTTCATCAGTGCAAAAAGACTTGTTGCCGGGGATTCAGTTCTCTTCATCTGGTATAGTGGTTTTCCAGACCACACTTGTATGCATTCTCTGTTTATTTATTTACAACCATCTCTATTATTACTAGTATTAAGTATGCTTCTTTGCTCAGGAATGAAAATAATCAGTTGCTTCTGGGTATCCGGCGTGCTAGTCGTCCACAAACTGTTATGCCTTCATCAGTTTTATCCAGTGACAGCATGCATATAGGCCTCCTTGCAGCTGCAGCTCATGCTGCTGCTACAAACAGCCGCTTTACTATATTTTATAACCCAAGGTACCTGTTTGTGCGTTTCTTATGATCTGAAATTTATTGAATTTTGACATTTATCATATGGTTTAAGGGCAAGTCCTTCAGAGTTTGTTATACCACTAGCCAAGTATGCAAAAGCAGTTTATCACACTCGTGTTTCTGTTGGAATGCGTTTCCGGATGCTTTTTGAAACTGAAGAATCAAGCGTTCGCCGGTATGTTGAGATCTTTCTCCCCTGAAACTCAGTTTTTTAGCTCTTCTCTTATTGAAACTTGATGCAGCAGAATGTTCTCTTAGGACAACTAATACTTTCAAATTTGACTTTTTTTGGTGGATGTGTATGTCCTAATTTTTGGTTGGTTATACGTTCTAATGTCTCACTGTCTTGTTTTTAGTTACATGGGAACAATAGCAGGGATAAGTGATCTGGATCCAGTTCGTTGGCCAAATTCACATTGGCGTTCTGTGAAGGTACTTATTCTGCAAGAGCATTTGTTGCCTCATTCTGATCCTTTAGGTTATGTAGTATAGAGAAATCCTCTTTAAAAAATTGTTTTTGTTGATATTACTCATAAGTTCCTTCTCTCTCTATGCATATAGGTTGGTTGGGATGAGTCGACTGCTGGGGAAAGACAGCCAAGGGTGTCACTTTGGGATATTGAGCCCCTGACAACGTTCCCAATGTACCCATCTCATTTCCCTCTCAGACTAAAGCGCCCTTGGCCATCAGGGCTACCCTCTCTGCATGGTATGCGTTTGCTTTTTGATGTACTTTCTTTTGTCAAGCCTTGTTAGACTTTGTGCTAAGTCTCTGGTTGACTATTAAGGTGGAAAGGATGACGAACTGGGCTTGAATTCTCCATTTATGTGGCTTCAGAATGGTGATCGAGCAATGCAAGCATTCAATTTCCAAGGGCTTGGAATGGCACCTTGGATGCGGCACAGGTTTGATGCTTCTATGCTTGGTCTACAGCCTGACATTTATCAAGCAGTGGCTGCTACAGCTCTTCAGGAAATAAGAACAGTGGATTCTCCAAAACAGGCATGTCCTGCAGTGCTGCAATTCCAGCAACCACAAACAATAACCAGCAGATCAAATCCTCTATTAGCTAGTCAAATTCTGCAGCAAATGCAGCCTCACGCTCAGCAAGCCTTCCTTGAGTCTCTCCAGGAAAACCAGGGTCAAAACCCATGCCAGTCTCAATTCCTTCAGCATCAATTGCAGCGTTGCCAGTCATTTAATGATGCTCAGCAGCAGCTGCAGGCATCATCATTACAGCAGCATCCTGAGCATCAAGCATTACAGCAGCATCATGATCAGCAAGCATTACAGCAGCATCATGAGCAGCAAGCATTACAGCAGCAGCAGCGACTGCAACATTTACAGCAGAACCAACAGCAGCAATTACAACAACAGCAGCAACAGCAGCAACAGTTGCAGCAGCAGCAATTACAGCAGCAGCAGCAGTTGCAACGACAGCAGAGTCGATCACAACAGCAGCAGAGCACATTACAGCAACATGAGCAGCAGCACCAATTACAGCAGCAGCACCAGCACCAGCAACAAATGCAGCAGCAACGACCGTCTAACCATCAGCAAATTCCTGATGTAGTTTCAGCCATGTCTCAGCTAAGTTCAGCTTCTCAATCCCGATCTTCAACCTTGGCGATAGCATCTTCATTTGCTCAGCAGAATTTCCCGGACGCCACTAGTAACCTGGTATCCAAACCTGTTGCTTCACCTCTGCATATTCCTTTGCGCTCGTATTCATCTGAGGAAACATCAAATATTCTTAGTATACCAAGAAGTAGCCCACTTATCAACTCGGGTATCCGGCCATCTAAGCGATTAGCTGTCGAGGCCATGGTTCCTTCTGGGGCTCATTCAATTCAGCCCCAGGTTGAACAGTTAGGTCCTCTCCAACCAAATATTTGTACTAACTTGTTTGCATTGCCACCATTTCCTGGAAGGGAAAGCTCTCTAGACCAGGAAGGTAGCACTGATCCCCAAAGCAATCTGCTTTTTGGTGTCAACATAGACTCCTCTATCTTAATGCAGAATGGCTTGTCAAGCCTCAAGAGCATAGGCAGTGATACTGATTCAACAACCATGCCATTTGCTACTGGAAATTTTCTGGGCATCGGAGGAACTGATTTCCCATTGAATCAGGGGCTGCCAAGTTCAACTTGCGTAGAAGAATTGGGGTTTTTGCAATCTCCTGAGGATGCAGGCCAAGTTAACCCACAAAGTGGAACCTTTGTAAAGGTGAGATGCTTTCCATCCAGAGCGATCTGCTAAAATCTTAAATTTTTTATGGTTGTGTCTGAATTTTGAACTGCATCTTAATCTTGTTGAGCTGATATTGAATTACTAGTACATGTCAAGAAATGTTTGGTACACAAACCGGAGCAAAATACAAGATTGTTTACCTTTGACACTTACTTCAATAACTATCCTGTATCTAAGAGTATTTTAGGTCATGCTGTCATGAACCTCCTCTATGTTTGAATGATGTCGATTAATTCCTAAAGGTTTACAATTTTATCCAGTGTATGAAATCTCAGGATCGATCTTGGATCTTATTTGCCTCTAATGGTATCCATATCAGGAGTTTTTGAAGTTTTATAGCTTTAGGATCAGCAGTACAATACATGTAATAAGTTAGCTTTGGATCACAAGCTTTCTATGTACGGGTTTCTTATTTTACCTTTCATGAATTTATCACTAGGAAATCAACTATTGGTAAAAGCTAGCTCAAAACCTTATACCTCTTATATAATACTCATGTCAGTCTGTATTAGTTTGTTCTTTTTTTTTGATATATTTTTTATGTAATATAGTAGTGTCCATCCTGTCCAGCTAGGTCAAATCGGCTTAAAATCTTATAAAATATGAGTGATATGTATCAAGATGACCCGTTATTTGATTTTATCTATTATCTTCATCTTCTTTCATTCACGGCTTGAAAAGGAATCAAATTTTTATCTGACCTGGGTTTGTCTTTGCTTCTTTATGCTAGCAGTTATATTTGTATACGGTTTGCAACCCATTATTCGCCAGGACTCAAGGGGGACTAGTTCGTTGTAAAAGCCTGTTTTCTGATGTTATATGCAAGTTTTGAATATGCCGTATGTTGCAGATTGTGATGAATTGGCTGAAAATTTTGCTGTTTTTTCTAGGTTTACAAATTGGGGTCTTTTGGTAGGTCACTAGATATTACCAAATTCAACAATTATCCTGAGCTCCGCAGTGAGCTTGGGCGTCTGTTTGGCCTTGAAGACCAATTGGAAGACCCTGTGAGATCAGGCTGGCAGCTTGTATTCGTCGACCGGGAGAATGATGTTCTTCTCCTTGGCGATGATCCCTGGCAGTAAGTTCTCTTTCTTCTTTGTGAGTTTTACTTGCGCTTTGATGATTTCTAGGATTTCTTTTACTTTCATGATGCTATTGTTGATCTGGAATGCCTCAAAAATCTATGGACTGAGTTATGGGTCAAATGATATTACACTAACCCTTAAAGAAAAAAGAAAAAGAAACTTGAAACGTATCATTACATGAAACTTAACGTTAAAGATGATTATAATCAATACTTGCTTTGTATCTATTAATAAACCTGGAGTATGTTCCTTTTCAAGTGAATTTGAAAGGAGTATGTTCCTTTCAAGTGAATTTGAATGTCGTAAGGGCTAAGATATCCATGCACCATATTGATTGCCAATGCTGATACTATCCTGATGCATGTGCTGCACCTTATTTTTGTAAGAACCCACTTTTTGCTTGGTGTTGGTGATAGGACAAAGTGCCTGTGTCAGTAGCCAGGATGGTATTATGCGATATACCCTTAGAAGATACAGTACCTAGATATAATTTGATTAAAATACTGAAGCAGAAATGAAATTCTAGGTAGCAGATAATATTTATTTAAAACATCACATCACTGTAGCGTGAATCTTTTGCTTCTATAAGTATGAATATCATCTGACTTTAATTAAAGCAGGAAGACAATGTTCTTGTTTTTTCAATCTATATGGTTTGGCTATGTGCAAAAGACCAGAAATGCATCAATTAGTAGTGATAAGATTATGATTAGCAAACCAATAACTCGAGTTAGACTGAACAAAACTTGGTGCGAAGCAATTAAAAAGATACGGTAGCTATTAACTTAATGGTGGAGATGCACCTGAATAGAACTGAATGGAAGAATACGCTTTATGTAGCTGTCCCTAGAAATTTTGAGTAAAGACGTTGTTGTTATTGAATGTGTACGCATTTGCTTAGGACTAATACTCTACATCAATGGTGCACACTTATGTAGTATTTGTACCGTGTGCTGTTTATCGAGAGTCTGGGTTCGTCTCGTACCTTGACCCCAACTCGTGATCCTTTCAGAGAGTTTGTAAATAGCGTCTGGTGCATAAAGATACTGTCGCCTCAAGAAGTGCATCAGATGGGAAATGAAGGCGATGAACTTCTGAACTCAGTCCCGATGAAAAGGCTCTCGAGTGTCAGTTGCGACGACTACATGAGCAGGCAGGACTCGAGAAACATGACCAGTGGGATCACATCCGTAGGCTCTTTAGACTACTGATGAAGACGAGATGCCGAAGAGATTCAGAATCATATAAACTCTTGCCGCATCCAGTAAGTTTTTAAACTATGCATATCTGTATTGTATGTCTATGTATCTTTACACAGTGCCAATAGTGGTATTTGTTCCTAGCAGTAGATTCAAGTATTGACCTCTTTGCACGTCAGGAGACTGAAGTCACTTTTGCAATCTTTTGTAGTTTTGGAGTTTAGTCTCTTTCTCGTTTTTATTCAACACAGCTTTGCCAGCTCAGCCCCGACTTAATGAGAAATTCATTCTTTTTCTGCTCAAAAGTCGTGGAACCTATTTTCTTTCTTGTGTTGTGATTTTCAATAGAATCTAAAAAAAAAAGAAACGGAGAAAACACATGGCATATCTTGTTCCTGTTTATTCTGGATGAAAACAAGTGCTTCGTATCCTTTGCTTTATAAATAATTAATACGATAGATTCTATTTTAATTTTGCTTGAAGTGCTCTATATGACTATTTATTAAAGGACGAACCGACAAAACCCCTCCCTAAAGTAGTGGTCAACCCTCAACTTATCCTTTTAAGGTAATTAATCTACGCTACGCTAGGCATCAGCTTGGTGTAGTCATTTTTGTTGGTCCACAGTTAAATTTTTAATCGATCGTGTTTTTTTTTTACGCATTTTTTGTGTTTTTTTGCTCTTCAAAAAATGATTCTCCAAGTTCCCAAAAAGAGGAATAAAGGATAAAACGTTTCAAGGGTAAGTATTCGAGGAATTTTTTGGTCTAGAGAGAAAGGAGACGCACTGAGAAAACTCCATGAAAAAGTGCCCAAAAAAATATTGTTACGTTGATCTGTTAAATATATTTCGTTAGTTGGTACAGTAGATCTTGTACCAAAAAAGAGAGGAAAAAGAAAATATCTTTGATTGGGCCCGTCTCCTTCCTTCAATTGAACCGATGATGATTCTATGTCGCTCTCATATATTCGAATGGGCCCGGGTAGGCTTTTTCAAGCCCTTGTTATCCGGTAAATTTGTAGCAGCTCCAACTTTTGCCCCTGCATGGCTGCTCTATTTTCTAATCAAGCCACTCACTGTAAACTCACGGTAAAGTTCAGAATGTAGCTCAAAAGGTAAGCAGTGAGAACACACGGCATTTGTATAACCCTTTTTTTAATAGGATAACCTTTCAATACGAGGAGATACTATGCAATAAAATGTGAAGATGTATTAGGAGATATTAGGAGGTACTATGCATTAGTAGAGGATCCCAATCCTCTGAACTTTTGGGGGTGTTGCATGGCAAGACTGCAAAGCTATATAGTATATAATACTTTTACCTAAATATTTTTTAGATAAAAAAAATTTACCTAAATATTAATGACATCAATATTAAACTTTATCACTTGTCATTTACAGGTAACATATATCCTCTCCTAAGTTTTTAGTTTTTTTTTCTCTCTCAAGAAAAATTTAGTTACCAGATTGGTTGTGAAATTATAATCTACTAAACATCTGGATGTGAAGTTAAAACAACTGTTTTGTGGTCAACTTGTCTGACAAGAATCACTGTTTGGGCGCACGCTAAAGCAAGCACGGGCCAAGGATTGTGGTAGTTATTTTTGGGGTGGATTACAGTCCGTATATTTTGATCAAGAAGTTCTGTTGATCTCCTCTGATGAAATAGCATTGATTTGGAGGCCCATTCACTTGTTGCCCTTGGGCCTGCTTTGGAACAGCGAGGCTGTGCGGCCTGTTCTGTACACCGGGCCGGGCCCGGGCCTGGGCCCGACCGGGCCGGGTTCCGGGCTGGCCCGGGTGATTTTCCTATTTTTTTTATTTTTTTTCAAAATTTTTTAATGTTATTTAACTTATAAATTATAAAAAAAAGATAAGAAAAATAACAAAAACAATAATTTTATTAATTACTTAAAATGACATAAATTACAAATAAGAAATGATAAAAACATATTCTTTATTAATAATTGATAAATCAGTTACAAATTACAAGTACAAATTTATTTTGGAATTAATCGCATCACAATAGATAAGTAAATCCCAACTAGGTTGGCACCTACTCACCTATATCATTATCATTTGCAATTATTTCCAAAATAATTCTTTACAAATTGTAAGCTAAGATATAAAAACTACAATCTATTCTTTATATCTATCTGCTAGTCCAAATTCTTCAAATTTATCTTTAATTCCAGCCATCCAATCGATGCCTTGCGTTCGCTTCTCGTACCTCCACCAATCTTGTAGGCACATCACCGTTTGTACAGTATATGGATCCAAGCATGTCCTGTGATCGTCGATCAAACGACCTGCTGTGCTGAAGGCGGATTCCGAAGCTACCGTCGAAACCTGCACTGTTAGTAAATCACGAACCATGGTGGAAAGTATAGGATATGAAACTGATCCATATACTTTCCACCATTGCAAAATATCTAAAGCATTTCCTTGACATCTAACTAAAGAAGCAGAAAAATATTCATCTATTTCAGAAACCTCCGATGATGACGATCCAAGTCCAGATCCACCAGTTAGCTCGGCTACCATTGCATACCTATCAAAACTTACACTTTTACCTCGGGCTCGGGATGAGCTCGAAGAAACCGAAGCTGCAGACTGTTGTGCAGCTACACCATGTCTAGCTGCATACTCATCATATAAAGTTTGAAAATAATTTCTAATAAGTAAATGATGAGTAGTAGCATTCAGGGTGGTTCCATCATCTAAGTCTATAACCTGTCCACCATACAATGACTGTAACAAACTTCGAAGGCCAATATCCTTCAAGCATGGATCAATAAGAACCCCCAAACCAAAAATATGAGGAAGAGGCCTAAAGTACTTATTAAATTTGCTCTCCATTTCAAAAACCATAGGTCCAAAAGTAGCATCCATACGATATTTATCAAAATTTTTTGAATATTTAAAATTTTGTAAAGCAGCTAAAGTAATGGTTGGATAATAACAGCCAGATAATAACATGGTAGCATCATAAAAAACTTGTAACATTTCATTTAAATTACATATAACTGTCCATTCATCTTCAGTTATTCCATAAGTGCTACCAGAACTAGAACTAGAAGCATAATAGTTTATAAAATCAGTTATAATGTCTTTATATTCTATTGCTACACTTAACATTGCATATGTGGAATTCCACCTATGGTCAACATCTTTTGGAATTAGTCTAGGCTTTACATTTTTTCTTTTACAAAATTGTTTCCATCTTTTAAGTCTTTGTTCAGAAGCACTATGCATGTAAGCAACTGTTCTAACCTTTTCTATCATGGGTTTAATTTCAGTAAATGCACTTTGAACAATTAAATTTAAAATATGACAGATGCACCTAATATGAAAAAGATCACCATGACATGGCAATGATAAAGATGATCTGATAAAATCAACAGCTACATTGTTATTACTTGCATTATCTAGTGAAAGAGAAAATATTCTTTGTGAAATTTCTAATTTCATAAGTTCTTCAATTATTAAATTTGCAACATTAGCACCAGTATGTGACTCTTCTATTGCAATAAAAGAAACAACTCTTTTAAACATTTGCCAATTTTCATCAATCCAGTGTGCTGTGATACATAAATATCCAGTTTGTGCTCTAGATGTCCAAATATCAGAAGTTAAAGAAAATTTACAGTTTAAATTTTTAAAATAAGAAATTATTTTTTCTTGTTCTTGCTGATAATATTTTAAAATATCACGTTGACAGGTTTGACGAGAAAATTTTTTAAATGCAGGATAAAAACCATCTCTAAACATATCTTCAAATTCATCATCTTCTACTAATTTAAAAGGAAGGTTTTTAAGAATGATAAACCTGATTACGCATTTCCTGGCTCTGGCAGCGTCATAGTTCCAACTACCGAGACTACCAGAAGAGGAGGATTGAGAAATCATGGATTGTCGGATATCACCTTGAGGAGGCTGGCCTTTGTTGTGTTTATCTAAATGGCGTTTGAGGTGGTTGGTGCCGCTCTTATGATGAGCTTGAAAAATCTTGCCGCACAAAGCACACTTAGCCTTCTGGGTGAGGATCCTACCGTGTTCATCCTTGGTGACGTCGATCTTCTCGTAAAAATTCCACACATCGGATCTTGGCCGTTTAGGAGCTCTTGGTGCAGATTCGTCGCCACCGGATTCGGGATTAACTTCGGTAGGAGGACTGATAGTAGGAGGACTCATAGTAGGAGGACTCAATTCAGGATCGGGAGATATGTTTTGCTCTTCATAATCAGATCCGGAAGCCATTTGGGGATTGGATTAGAAAGTATAAATAAGAGAGTATAAGAGTATAAGAGAGAGTATAAGAGTATAAGAGAGAAGAGATGAGTTTTTGGTGTGAAGAAAACAAATGAAAACCCCCCTCTATTTATAGAACCAGCCCCCTAGGTAAATGACCAAAATAACCTCACAAAATAGCCGTTTTTTGACCGTTTTTGAGGGCAAAACGGTCAAAGGGCCAATCTGACCGTTGTTACCGGGCCGGGACGGGCCGACCCGGCCACAACGGTCACTTATGTAGACCGTTATTTGTAACCGGGCCGGGCCCGGCCGCCCCGGTCGTTTTGGCCACAACGCGCTCACTTTGGTGACCGGTTGTGGCCGGGCCGGGCCGGGGCCAGCCCAGGCCCGCGCCCGGTCGTTTATCACACAACGGTCACCAATGGTGACCGTCTGCTGCCGGGCCGGGCCGCAGGCGCGGCGGCCCGGCCTAATTCGGCAACGCTCCCACTGGTGACCAGTTGCCACCGCGCCGGGCTCCAGGTCCGGGCTGCGGGCCCCGTGGCGTTGACCGGGGCGCACTGTGTATACGGCCGAGCCGGTGCAGGCCCGGGCCCGGGCCTGCCCCGCCTGAGGCCACCCGGACCCCGGCCCGGACCGGCCCTGTTCCTGGTTTTCCGGGCCGGGCCGGGCCGGGCCCGGGCGGGTTCTCGTGCCCGGAGGCCGGGCCGGGCCTCCGGCCGCGGCTTCGGGCCGGGCCGGGCGGGCTCGGGCCGGGCGGCGCTCCGCCCGGGCCGGGCTCCGGCCGCGGGCAGCGGGTAAAATGGACACCCCTAATCACACCCCACAACCCAAGTATACTACATGTGATAATACTTAAGCTCAAATGGTTGTGTGTGTAAACAATAAACAATAATAAAAATTAAACTTAAATTAATCTAGCA